TCTTGTGTAATCCTGTCCAGGGTCCACAGAGCAAAGAGCGCCCCAGACTATTTCAGACATGTCGGAATTAAGCTCCCAGAGAGCGAGGCACAGTGATGATAAACAGCAGCCACAGAAAAGGACGACTGGGTTGTGACGAAGGCTGTGTCAGATTCATACACACAACTACCTTGCAAATTAGCCTGTGCGCCTCCAGGGACAGATCCAGAGGCCACTGAAGATGGTTCACGAAGGTGCCCCTTTGTGAGCGCGGCAATCAAACAGGCTAATGGGACGCATGATTGCCGGGAAGGACGGGAGAGTGATGCGGCCGCTGCAGGAATGGCTTTGCATAAATCAGAAGTGCGCCTCTGCCCTGTACGCCTCATCCACGCCTGCTCACACCCTCCCCTAGGAGTGTTACAGTCTGGGGAGGGTTCGGGGGACTGGTGGGACAGGCAGGGGCACGTTTTCAGGCCACTCTCCCGTAGTGGTGACAGCCTGTCCCACCTCCTGCATTTCCTGCATTTCTGTGAGAGGCCGCAGCAGCCCCAGCACAGCTCCTGCTGGAGGCCCATTTGTGGGTCTGAAGGAGCTCAGGCACTGTGCTGCTTGTTAGCATCTGTGGTGTCAGCTGGCTGGGCGCCGTCAGGGTGCCGGCTCACACCGTGGTCATGTGTGGCTCGAGGCTGATGGGCTTGATTATCTGCTGAGGTGACAGAGCCAGGCGCACTGTTCAGAGGTGCTGGAGTTGCAGCCAGACCTCCACCTGGAAGTCTGTCCTTTGTCCCCTCTGTCAGACAGGCCACTTCTTTCCCGCATGTCTTCCTCCCTCCCCTCTAGCCCTGACTCCCGTCCAGGCAGAAAGACCCCCTGACTTGTGCTGGTCGTGCAGTAGAAGGCTTCACAAGGCAGGTGCAAAGGTCCAGGCCCAGGAGCTGCCCAGCCAAGACTCAGTGCCAGCTTCCCGCTTGCTCTCTGCAGGAAAGTGAACTCGCCCTGCACAGGTGCCCTGACCTGGCTGTGCCCACCTGAGAGGCCCTGACGATGGCAGGGCCATTGAGGACACCTAAGGCCCCGTGGACCCTTGAGTGTCGCTTTGAGCAAGATGTGGTGGCTCTGCTGGAGTCTGGGAGCTGATGGCATCACTGCCCTGTCCCTTCCGGCATCACCAAGACACTTTTCTTTCCATTATGAGTCTGTTGTCAAATTCTGTGGGGTTTTTTTCCCTTTAAAAATTACCGCTTCTCTGGCCAGGGATTTAGCTTAGTGGTGCCGCTGCCTGCCTCACAAGCACAAGGTCCTGAGTCCAAGCCCAGGTACAAAAAAAATTACTCCTTCTCCTTGATTGTAAACTGTTTTTCCTCAAGGGGTTCAAGATTTAAAGGTTTCTCATCTACTGTTTCACATTGAATTTGTCACCACAAACATGTTTCATAAGGGTCATTAAGAGCTATCCGTTCTCAATAGGCTGCTGTCCTCTGGGCCGTGCCCTACTCCACGCCCACGCCTCCTGCAGTCCTTTCTCTGGCAGGGCTTGGCGCAGGACCCCACAGCTGACTCACTCCCCACTGCTCCCGGCACCCTGCTGGGCCGCCTTGGCCTCCCTGGCTGCTTGCTCGCCCACTGGTGCCTGCCAGCCTCTGGGACCTGGCCCGGGAGCCCTGCGTTGGTGCACTGAGGTGCATCTGCCTTCTGCGCTTCGCAGCCAAGCCACCCGCTGTCACCCGCTGGGTTCTCCTGCCCTCGGGCTCCCTGGCCCGCTTGCTCTAAGGCTGCTGCCTGCTCAGCCGCTCCTGCACACCTGGTCTCGTGGCTCCCGTCTGCACAGCTTTTTCACCTGAAACCTTTACCACACCATTGTGACTTCCTAAAATGAGTTGTTTCCTGTGTGTTGCCTTTGAACCCAGCAGAGCCTGCACAGCTGGGTGGAGGTGCTCAGGGAGTCGTGCCCCTTATGAAGCCGGTGGGGATTTGCGGTCACAGACTGAAGTTTGCCTGCAACACTGTCCCTCCTGTCGGGCAGCTGTCTGGGCCACAGGGGAGCTCGGTCAGGCGGGGTGGCCTAGGGCTGTGAAGGGCTCCCCAGCTCCCCTTAATCACGTGGCAGAGCATGTTGGAGCTGTGTGGTGCCCAGGAGGAGGCGGGAGCAGTCTCTGTAAGGAAACAACCAACTAGTTGAAGGTTGGCTGTCGGTATTGCGAGGCGTGTTGGCAGTGAGTGCTGTGAGCTGCACTGTTACTTTTTTCAACAGGTTGGTTGGTCAGTGGCACAACACAGTTGTGCGGTTAACACCACCTAAGTTAGGCAGGAGGCAGGTTCAAGTGGGACATGCGGTGACAGCGGGACAGGGCAGTGAGCGCCTCCTACACACTCGATTCCTGGGTGTTTCTCAGATGGTGGTGAGCAGAATCCCTGACCCTGGGCAGCAGCAGCCGGGCCTCTCCTTGGAGAAGCCTTTAGCACAAGCCCAGCAGAGATCTTTTCGACCTTACTTCTCAGTGCAGGGATTTTATTGATTTGTTTGTCCTTGGGCAAGGCCCTGAGCAGGAGAGCGGAGGATAAAACTTGGGGCCTTGTGTGCCAGAGCCGTAGCCAGAGGCAGGAGGCACCAGAAGGCTCACAGGGTGGCCAGGGAAGCTGACCTGGAAATTCGCGGGGGTGTAGAGAATTGGCAGGGGCGGAAGGGGCGAGGAGCTAGCGACAGAGAGGGCGTGCCAGGGGAGAGGCCGTGCGCAGCAGTGCGGGGGCGTGGGGGGCCGAGGGGGTGACTCGGTGCTGGGCAGGGAGGGGGCAGAGCCGCCCCAGTGTGGGATGGCAATGCTCCGCAGAGCTTGGGCTGCTCCTGCCGCTGCAGAAGCTTACAGAACACGGGGCTCATGGAGAAGGGCAGGTCAGCAGTTGCTACTGAGGCCCCTGAGTGGGGCCCACGTGGTTTTCGGGTCTCTGGCATGGGCCCTGGACAGGTGCGTGCCTGCAGATGGGCCCATGCAAAGGGGATAGGAAGATTACTCAGAGGCAGGGAGGGACGGAGGAAAGGGAAGGCAGGAGGCCTCGGGCCGTGGCGGGATTGGGCAGCAGAGGGGCAGCTGTGTCACAGGACGCCCACGGCCAGACTTCACCATGTGGCCCACCTTTGAGGAGGAGAATGAGCTCATTCTAAGAGAACACAGCTGCCGCCCCAAATGGAAAGGACGAACTAGGAAGACACATGGGCTCAGTTCATCCTCATATTAGAGTTTGAAGTGTGAAATTTGAAACAGTGGTCGATAAATGAATTGAAATGGGAATGTGGAAAAAATAGTGATGCAGGAAGGTAAGCACAGAATTTATATTTTCAACATAATTCCCTGGCTGATATTACATTTATCTTCTCCTCTGTGAACTCGATTCTGTAGAAGGATGTGTGCGTGCTGCAGAGCGCAGCTCCCCTGGGAGGGAGCGGGTCCCTGGACCCCCCCAGCCCCCACGGCCACAGCCCTGCCACGCCAGGCACTGTGCCCTCACCCTGCACCCCACCAGGCCTCACCCGGGACAGACTCTCGGCCTCGAGCAAATCCAGGGAGAAGTAGCGTGCGTCCCTCCATGGCCTGAGGTCACGTGTGTGAGCCCAGGCCCGCCAGCCTTCCAGGTGTCTCCGGCCGCCTGTGTTTGCACCCGGGCCGAGGACAGCTTTGGGAGTGGCATCGTCCCCACCACTGCCAGGCCTCCCCGGTGCCTCTCTCACACCTCTCTGGGCCATAGCTCTGCGTAGACTGCACTCAGAGGCGCCTCCCCGAGGGCTCTGCTGTGTTCCTCTTCTTCCCAGGACACCCACCCCCCGCGTCCTCTCTGCCCCTCTCCCCAGGGCTTGGACTCTCCGGGCGCTGCAAAACCTCAGCCCGCACACACTGTGTGCACAGAAGTGTAAGCCTCCGAGCACTGTAGGTTGAGACACAGATAAACTGTTTCGTCATGAGCTTAAATACAATTACTTTTATAAATATGAGGTAGAAAGTAAACGCAAGATGGAAGATGAGGACATATTAGGAGTGTTTGATGAAGTGATTTGATAAAATAGATTTGAAGAAGCTTATTGCAGAAAGCGCAAAATCTGATATTATGGAAGTTTTATCCCTGAGATTTTAGCCAGTGAATCTTGAAAATGTTTTTGCAGTTCTAGAAAAATTCCAGGTACATGTAAAAACTTTGTGTCAATCCCATGTCACTTCCGTGTTCTGAATTAAGAGGTCTGACTCAGGTCAGGGTCCCCTGTGGGTCCCAAGATACCCCAGGCGGCTGCCGCCCCCGCCTGTCACCTGTCCACCTTCCTACGAGAGGGTGGCCGCCTCCCTGCTCTGTGCTCCCACAGGCCGTGTGCTGAGTGCTGAGCCCAGCGCTGTGCCCTTCTGTAGGCAGCTGGCACAGCGCTGACTCTTCCAGTGGCACTGCCTGGCAGGTAGACGAGCTTTTCCTGGCTCTGGAGGGTGGCACTCCCCTCAGGCAGGTGGCCAGCCTCTTGGGGTGAAGATGTTTGGCCCAGACTGGTCCACCTAGTAAGGTGGAGGTCAGGACACAGCTCTATGCCCGGCCCCAGCAGGGTGAGGGGAAATTGTGCCTCAGGGCGGAGTTGGGGTCACCAAGGGTCCTTCCTGGGGTCCCACCCTGCTGGCTGCTTCCCAAAACAGCGTATTGCCATGGAGTTCCCATCCCATCCCGTTCACCCACGGGAAGCATACAGTTTAGTGGCTTTGAGCGCAGCTCATTACCACAGCCCACCTTCTTTGAACTTGAAGTTAACTGATTAAGACAGAAAGGGCCATGGGACCAAAGTCACCCAACAGAGCCATCGCGTGAGAACACTAGGAAGCCGTGCTGTGGCACCTGACCGTTCAAAGCATGTTTACAACCTTCTGGCTACTGCCAGAGGTGTGGGAGTGGGGTGGACAGTGGGGGGGTCCCCAACTTCTGTGTGGCTCCGGGCAGCTCTGCCAGTCCCAGGCTGGCCTGTCGCTCACCCATCTTCTCCTTCCCGCTCCCAGGTGTTCCACTGTGTCCACTTTGAGTGTCCAGAGCAGCAGAGCATCCAGAAGGAGGAAAACGGCGAGGAACTGGGGACAGGGGACGCCAGCCCAGCCACTCAGCAGATCGACCCTCTCGCCCTGCGGGCACCAGGCGCCAGACCACTGCCCCCCAGCCCCGGCCCCAGCACGTGCTCACCCAGCCGGCAGCACCAATAAAGGAAGCGGTAGAGGGGGTCTGTCTTACTTTTCTTATTGCTGAGACAAAATACCCGACGCCCAAGGTTAGAGGAAAGGTTTACTGTAGCTCGCGGTTTGTAGAGGCTCAGACCATAGCTGGCTGACTTCATGGCAGAGGGGCATTGCAGAGTTCATGCTGGGCAGAGGGCAGCAAAGAAGGCAGTAAGTAGTGATGCAGCAAGTAAGGACCCCAGCCCTCTTTCTGCCCCTTATGCTCCATCCAGGCCGCACACCCATCACCCCAGCATCACACAGCCTAGATTCAGCCACCTCTGAAAAGCCCCCCAAGAGCACACGAGGCTTTGAGGGTCGTCTAGACACAGCCACAACAGGGTCTGGCCGGGTGGCGCAGAAGGTGACAGGAATGTGCTCTCCCTGGCAGGGACCTTTGTGGGTTGCCTGGTTCCCTTTCTGGGAGCAGACCTGGCTGCGAAGTGGGTTTTCTCCCAGGGACGGAGAGGGCTGCATTGTTCCCATTTGTCCAAATCAAGCTGGGAGAAGGCGGCTCTCCAGGCTTCATCGAGTGTCCCATTAAACCCTGCCTCTCTAATCCACCCAGCCAGGAGCAGAGGGAAGTCGCAGGCTGCCCTGCAGTACAGAAGCCGTGCACTCTGGAGCGGAAGCGAACGCACCAGGCCTTTATTACCTGCAGGCACCCTGTGGGAAGTGGGTTTCCATAGTGTTTACTTTTATGGAACACATCGCCTGGCAACGGAATGATTTTTTTATTTCTTTTAGTTATTCTCCATTTGCTGAATCATAGGTGTTCCAGATCTTTTCGAAATAGTCCAGCAGCAAATCGCTTGCTCTAATCCCTTCCAAAGCTGTCATTTCCCTTGCTTGGTGCAGAACATTTCAGCGGGGCTAGGCGCAGGCACAGCTCATCCGGGCACCTGGTTTGACGGGCAATCCTCCAAGAAGTTCAAGGAAATGCACGATGAGCACATCAGTCTGCGGGCCCCGGAGTCAATAATGGCACAGATTGCTGTTACTAATCTGCTGCCCAGAAATGCACCCGGCCTGTGCACTTGGAGGCTGAGGAGGAAACAGCTATAGGCAGCCTCTAATTACTGCCCAGAACAGGCTCCGACCGCCAAGCCTGGGCCGTCCTGCGGCTCCCTTTGGTACAGCGGAGGATGCAGCCCCGCCGCCCTCACATCAGGAGCGGGATGTGCAGGGTGACGGCCCTGGGGCCCGAGACGCAGGTGACTCCAGTTGGAAATGCAGCCCTGAGAAGCTGGCCTCCGGTCCCCTCCGGAAGGAGCTCCGTGGCTACTGCAGCTCAGGCTGGCCCTTGTCACTTGCTGGTGACTTCCCACCCCTGCTGCTGACCTCCCCGGGTCCCCGCTCAGGAGCGGGGGTTCCTTCCCGTGTCTGAAAAACAACTTGGGTGGTTGGGGTGTAGAAGGGGCAAAAGGGCCTGCAGTTGGGTCCTCACCTCGGTCCGAGGGAGTCTACCACTGCCGTGGCAGTGGCATCGCTGCCCGCTGCGGAAGCAGAGGCCACGGCGGGAGAGAAGGTCCTGGGGCAGAAGCGCGGCCGGCGTCCTGGGTGAGCGGCCCTCAGCGCGCCCCCAAGA